TTATTGGGGGAAGATTTGGAGAAAGCATCAACGGGTGGAGAAACAGACTGCACGGTAACCGATAAGTTAGGTTCACCCAAAAGCAAGCCTGAAGGTTGTGTAACATTTGCATTAGTTGCAGAAATACAATTTTCACGAGGAGAGGACTTAGAAGTTAAAACAAAAGGGCTATTATCATTATTTGGAAATTTGAGGCGATAAAGGTGCTTGTTTATAGTGGTCAAATACCAATGGTATGCAATAAAAGTACTATTGAATTTATCCTCAACGACGTCAATATTTTCAAACGGTGCAGCCTCGGATGCCGTGAGGTAGTTTTTGCACTCAGTATAAGTGTGCAAGACCTTATCCCACAATTCTCGAAATTCTGATAAACGAATTTCGAGGCTGCAAACTGTGAAATGTGCGACATCAATTTGTACAAAATAGTCTACACTCTTCAGAACAATGTCAGCGGCTCTAGAAAAACGTGTGAGCGGAGTGATCGACATTTTGTTACTAAATGTATACCAAAAAAAAAAAAAAAAAAATACAAACGGTATGCAAAAGGAAGGGAAATGAGAAATTTCCAAAACTTAAAACCTTAAATAGGAGAGAAATTAAGAAAATCTTTTCCTATGTGACAAATATTACTAAAATTGCTCCAATATCAACAAATTATAGGGTGTTTTTTCCAAAATGTATGACAAATTTCCAAATATTTTCCACCGATAGTACGATATTTATACAGAGATAGTGTAAATGTGCTGTGAATTGAGTAAATGTACAGAATATTTAATGCAAAATTTGGCAATTTTTACAAGATTATGCCGATAGTAGGGTGTATTCTTCAAAAAAATATCCAACCCTAGAGAGGATCACAAATAGTACCAACAACTATTAATAAATTGCCCAAAAAATTTAAGAAAATAGCCACAAACGAATATTTTCAACTAATGTTTGTTCTGAAAATATCTGCAAAGAATGTCTAATTTAGGGTGAATTTGTCCAAAAATTCCAAAAACCAAACTACTAATCAAAAATATTTCAGAAAATTATCGAAAAATAATTTCTAAAATAAATTACAAAAATTCACAATTTGTGCTATTTTACCCCACTGTGCCGGACCAACAACGGATATCGCACAAAGAGGAATAAAACACAAGCGACGTCGGCAGAGAAATGACTATGCGTAAGCAGCTACGCACCCACAAAACAAACGACGCCACAAACGATCCAACAGTTAGAGTTGGAGATCAAAACACTTTGTTGTTATTTTTACTGAATATCAAACCGACGCTTAAAAAGGGCGCGTGGAATGATGAAGTATTTTTGTTGCAATTTTTGGCAATGCAAATTCTCAAGTGAGAATTGACAGAAACAAACGAAGAAAAATTGCAACAGCAATAAATGCGCGTTAGTAACGACGACAAAGTAACCAACCGACAGATGGATGCACTGTTATTACAAGTGTGTTGTTAGTGCTAATTAGAAACACACAATTCTCGTTAAAGGGCTCAACCTTTGAAATGTAAATGGGGGATAACAACAGCGAACGTTTGGTTGGTGAGAAATACGGCCAAATATAAAAGAATGTGCATGTATGCTGTGGTGATGCAAATTTTTCTTCAACTAAGGCGAGGGAGTAGATCAACAGCGATGGGGATACTTTCTATTCTCACAAAGGGTTTAACATTTGAAATGAGGGTTAGAAATGCAAATAACGAACGAAGCGGAGCAAGAGCACGAAATATTTTTGTATGATCAACGCGATGATGGATGATCAATACAACGAAAGCTAACTATTTTCATAACAACAGAATTAGGTGTTGTAGGGGAATGCACTTTATTAACACATGAAGTGTTAATACGAGTCGACCAACTGACTTGTTCTTAAACGAAGAGCAAATGTATGATCACCGCGATGTTGGATGATCAGTACAACGAGTAATATTTTTATGCAAAGACGAGAGTGGACTGCATTTTATATGTAGCACGCGCGTAGATCAATTGAGATTCGACCAAACCGAAACAATTTAAATATTCACTAAGAAACCGCGAGTAGCTCACTTCAAATGGTAATCTGAATTTACGTACCTGGTTCTTAGTGTTGATGATAATGATGAAAGAGAATCCAATGATTTCTTCATGCAATACAGGGAGCAACGACTAGGGGATGGCTTCTATCCGGCTCGAAGGGCCAATGTTTAACTCAGGGGAGTGGGGGGAAAGGCTTCGTATAGCGGCGAGAACAACAAAACTCCCCAGAGTTATTATGATGTGAGTGATGTGTAGGTGAGAGATTTGGTGCGGGTGATTCGCGCGTGTGGTGTAGGATAAAAGAAAGACAAAATCAAGAAATGAAACAAAGATAAATTAGTATTTTTCTAAATATAATTTATGCTTTATTGTGACTCTTTCTTTTCAAACAACAAAATTACCTCTTTTCAAATATGGTGTTGGCGACAGTGGCCGTGTTGGGTTTCGCTTCAAAGACTAAAGACAAGTAAACGCAGAGGTTCTAGGTGATCGCAGATGATCCCATGTCTGTATACTAATACAACTACAACTACTTCCAATGAGAGCAAGGTGAGCCTACCGACAACAACCAATGCCCAGCGACGATCCGCTCACTACGGTCTCCGCCAGGGGAGTTGTAGAGGAGATGCCTGTGCGCCACCGTGATTGATCGAGCATTGGAAAGTTGTGGTGGAACGTATCGAACTTATACAGTAAGTTTTTGATACACATTGAAGTGGACATATGTTTTCTGTATGCAAATGTGTTTGCTGGAAAAATGTTATTTTCGTCAATGAATTGTTGCAAACGTTCTTTCAACATTATTTTTTTATTTTTAAAGACACTGATATTAAGGCTATTGGTCTAAAGTTTGTAAACAATTCTAGATCTTTGGTATAGGGATAATTTTCATTTTTATCGCCATTCATCTATGATTTTGCACTTTTTCCATAAACAATTTATTGCTTTTTGTAGGATCCGCTAGATGATTTATCGGTTCGTATGTTATACCGTCCAGGCCAGTAGCTGAGGGTTTCATTTTATTTTTGAGAACCAGTAAAAAATACTTCCATTGTTAAATTGGAGCGATTATAAGTATTTTTGCTGACATAATTAATTGGATTGTTATCTGGAACTTGATCTCTGAGATGACATAGAAATTGTTTGTTGTTGTTTGGTGACCACTTGCTTTTGATGTTTGAAGACAAAGTATTTTTGCACACATGAACAAATTGAAAGAGATGTTTTGAGCTGGGCTCCTTGTTTAGATTTTGTATCTCATTCTTGAAATTGTGTTTTTTAGCAAATTGGACGGCATTTTTCAATTTTTTTATAGTTTTAATTAGATTTCTTGCGTTTATGTCATTGCTATGCATATCGTAAGTTTTTTGTGCAGCTATCTGTAGTCGGTACTGTTTAGGGTATAAGTAGATTTTTTGATTTCACTTTTTATCACGGAATGTATTTATTGAAAATTAGTATTTAGTTGGATCTAAGAACTAAGATTTTTCATTTGCTGTTTTTTTTTTGGCTAAAAAAATTTGAACTTTGCACTCAAATCATTTATAATTTTTTAAATGTATAGCTACCATCGTTTACAAATTGAAAGTTGGAATTATTAAAGATTTCTTTAATTGATTTTCACGCTATGAGACAAATTAATCACCTGAGTGTCTAGCATTGGATTCACTACGTATGAATGTGTAACTTTGATTATCAAGCAATGATATTAATTTGGCTAATTCTGTTTTTATCGTTGCACATCTGACTGAGTGGGGAAAGTAAATGGATTCCAAAGTTAAATTGTTTGCTAAATTTGTAGTTTGGCAAATCAGAATATCCAAGCAGGTCTCAAATGTAATCTTTTTGAATTGTATTTTTTTTTTTTTTTTGAAAAATAAGGCTACACCATATTTAACATTTCTTTTTTTTCGATACAATGTTGAATTCTTTTATAGATGATGGGTTTTGACTTTCGTCTATATTAAATATTTCACTCAAAAAACATATGTCAATTTTTTGTTTTTTTTTTAGAAAAAAATCAAGGAAATTTTTCTTTTTGTTTAAACTTTGCATATCATATTGAAGAACGTTCATATTTTTATACCCTTCACCATACCATGGAGGGTATATTAACTTTGTCCTTCCGTTTGTAACTCCTCGAAATACTCATGTCAGACCCAACAAAGTATATATATTCTTGATCAGCGTAAAATTCTAAGTCGATTTAGCGATGTCCGTCTGTCTGTCTATAGTAATCACGCTATCTTTCGAATTAATTGAGATATACTGCTAAAATTTTGTACACATGTTTATTTTTCCAGTAGGCAGGTTAAGTTCGTAAATGGGCCATGTAAGTCCATGTTTACATATTGGCCCCATATAACGGTATCTCCCGATATTTGGTATTTTGATGATTTTAGCGACATTATTAACCGGAATTGTTTCAAATTTGGTATTTGAAGTTCTAAATGGATACTACAGTCTAAGACAGAAAATTGTTTGTGCAGGTCCACGTCTTCGTGTAGCCCCCATATAACGGTACCTCTCAATATTCGGTATTTTGATGATTTTAGCGTCATTATTCACCAGAATTGTTTCAAATTACGTATTTGGCGTTCGTTATGGGAACTACAGTCTTTTTTGAGATGTGGTATTTGAAGTTCGTAATGGATGCTACAGCCTGTGACAGCTCTCATATAACGGTACCTCCCTATATACGATAGTTTGATGATTTTAGCGTCATTATTCACCGTTTATTTCAAATTTCGAATTTGAATATGGTAATGGCTTATGACAAACAATGCCTATTTAGACGTCGTATAGGCCCCATTATAACGGCTATATATGGTATTTTTAAATTTTAACAGAAAGTTTTAAGGATTTTTATTTTTTATGAAAATTTCCAAATTCGTTCCAAATGGTGGAGGGAATTCAAAGTTCGGCCCGTCCGATCTTACTGCTTTTTAGCTTGTTAATAAAAGTTTGTTATTTATTTGCAGGATTTGAATTATTATTTGGCACTTTGTTATTTGGTTCCTCAAATGGGTTATTTATTTCCGATGACAGGAGTGATTGCTGGATTTTTTAATATATTTAAACCTTCGGCACTATTAAGTGAGGTGAGAACTTTTGACATTTCATTTGAAAATTGTGTTAATGTTTTTTCTATTTCAGATACTTTTGAAAAGCTAAAATGTTTGAAGACGGATTGGTATGGTGTGATTTGAAACGGACTGGCAATGGCGTGATGGATTGGATTTCGTGGAGACGCAACTCTGCTATATTATAATTTTGTAACCCTATTGTTTATTTCTTCATAAATGCTTCTTTTTGAAGCGTTTATGCTTCTTATATTTCTTTCAGATTTCCATCATGGGCACTGCTTTGAATCGGTTGCGAAATTATCAATACTATTACAAAGAATGCATCGAGGCGAGTTGCATATATCATTGCATGTAGTTGTTGACAAACATTCTTGACATTTTTGCTCCTTGGGACATTGATTGGGGCAAATGATAAATTTACCACAATTTAAAAATTTTTTCGTCGATCTGCAACGAATGGATATGTGTCCTAACCGTCCGCAGTTTAAACATAAACGTACAGGGGGCACATACAAATGTGGTGTTATTTTTGTTCCGCACATATGTAAGTATCTCCGTGGGTACACCATCATATATAATACCGATTTTTATGGTTTCGGAGTATTCTATTTTATTGTTTTCAGATTTTCTAGTGAAGCGGTATATTGAAACAACGTCCATGTCATTATCGCTTTCAATTTGTTGTTTAATTGTGATAGCAGATAATATAGAACCGTTGTACAAAACGTTCTGGGATAAAGTCTTTGAGAGCAATTTGGTTTAACTTTGGATTCGTTGCAAAAGAGTTGGCTGAGGTAGAATTGTTAAATGTTATTTTGAAAAGATTGTATCCAATGTTCTTGCACGCATAGTCTGTAATATTAATCTTTTGAAATCTTGCATACAGGTGTAGTTCACAATTCTTCCTCCTTGTGCTAATTGGCGTTTCTGAGGAGACTAGCACATGAAAAGGACTGGGATGGTATTGTGGATACAAAATGGTTTCTTTATTTAAAGAGTTGTAGTTGTATTGGTCTGTCATTTCATTATTTGATGTAGGTTCTGTATTTGTGTTTATTGGTTTAACAGGTGTTCCATTTTGGTTTTTGAAAGTTTTTGTTTCGTTAGAAATGCTTGGAGCTCTTCTTTTATTCTGTTCCCCCGGAGGAGGAGTTGGAATAGGCGGAGGAGGATTTAACTCAAATTTGTTTATGTTTGTAAAAAAATCAGTCTAATGTCAAAAGATGTTGATGAGCGACTGTTATTTTCTTTGCTTATGACGTTTGTGGCTGTTTTCCTTTTGCTGTCCTGTACGCATTATGTTGGCTTTCCTTAGCATACTTTTAGGCAGTTACCGTAAATTTATTACTACACTGTTTTCCTTTGTATTTCTCATTTACATGGATTGCTCAAATTAAAATTGCATAATTGCTAATTTAAAAGAACGATTACTATAGTGTTAGTTATGCTTAGGGCTTAATGGCCTACCCATGATTACGTTGGACATGTATCGATAGTCACATATAGTCATTTCTAAGAGACTAAAATAGAATTGGTTGCTGTGAAGAAGGTTTTGACGAAGCACTTTTCAGAACTTCAAATTTTCGAAAAGAGGTCTAATAATTTCCAATTTTTATATGGATCTGCGAAACGAAAGAAATCATCAGTGCGGATTTGATCCGTTTAAACTCACCAGCTGTGGCTCACCCACACAATACTGCCATATCTTTTGGCTCCGACATCCTACCCTCTATTGATTACTATAAACAATTCTGCAATTGTTATACCTTATCCAGTACAATTGCTTATACTAATCCTCCACTCTAATAAGCAAACGTTATCTTTTCTACCTTACGGATACGTTGAATAAAATTTCTGCTTCAGCAGAAATTCCGGCAACAATCAAAAGTCTGAGACATCGCTTAAACCTGAGATTCATGACACTTAGATTTTATCTGATCAGTATCAAATTTACAGAAAATGGTTACAGAATACCCTAAAATTGAATTTCTTTGTGTTAAATTAAAATATCTAAATTGCAATATTTTTAATATAATTGCTCTTTTATTGCTTCGAATTCAGGGATTAATATTTTTCTTAAGCATTCAGGGTTAATAAAAGAGTTGTCATTATATTATTCCTTAACGCTGAAATGATTTGTCTTGGGGGTTTCAATCTACCTAATCTAACATGAGTCCCAGGAAAAAATATTGTAGATTATGTACCAGTCTCTTCTACTGAACTGTCTGCTTAGATGTCATCTTTTTGGGAAAGCATTTTGATTTGATTCTGTATATAATGCAAAAGGCAAAATATTGGATTTATTTTTTCTTTCGTAACATCTTCTGTGTGTAGAAGTCCTCCCTTCTCCGAGCCAGAGGATATGTATCGTGCCACTCTTATTATGACAATTGAACTTAGTAATATTCAAACTCTACATACTTCATTTCAAACTAAATCTCGTTAGCTAATCTTTAACAAGACTAACATTGATCTGCTGCGTTCTATATTATACAATATAAATTGGGTTTTTAAGGTAATATTGATTTTCGTATCTCAACTTTTATAAAAAAAAAATTACAAATTCGATAATTCAAAAAGAAAAGTCCGCGAATTTCCTATTTGTATGACATTTGGTAGTTAAGTATCATGTGAACTTAAGGAAATAGCAGACATGTTTGCAAACTTTTTTCAAAGTACGTATTCCACATATTCTACTAATGGTTGGTCTGTTCCAAAACATGCAAGAATGTACTAGTTTTACAATTTTCTTCGATATTATAAAGGGAAAATCGGTTATCGTAGTAAAAACTTTTACATTCTTGCAGTTCTGGAACAGAACAAAAAATTACTCTTATAGTATTAATAAACTTAATCAGTTTTCTCGTATCATTCCCACAGCAAATGGAGTGTAAAATCTTTTAATGTCATTGAAACTCACCGGGTTCAAATGGGGTACCGTTTTTAAAAACATGTGCGCATGAACTATCGGCCCTATTACGGTTATCGTCCGCGTCGCAAAATGAAGTCGAGGCGACAATAATGATATTAGGGTTGTCGTTTTTTGTCGATAGCGACAAATGGTTGCCATTATCATTGTCGATACAACAGTCGACGTGAGAATATCTGTCGCCGTAAAAAATTGTGACGACATAGTACTTTCTAGTCGACGTTGATTTTGTAAGCATTTTGTATTTGATATTAGACCATGAAAATAACAACAGCAAAATAATTTGAAATTTTGGTTTCCGAATTGAAAAAAATCCATGTTTGGCAAAAGGATTTACCAAAGGTCATGTTCCAGCAAATTTTAATTCACATTGGAAATCCATTACTACAAAATTAAATGTATAATTATTAGTTAGTTTTCTAAAATTCTTCTAGGTTGGGAAAGATTAAAAATTTAAAACTAAAAAGAAACTTGAGCACAACAAGGGTGAAACCAGCAGCAATGGAGGTGGCATTTTTAAGAAAATGAGTCTGTCGCGAATATAACGCAGTTTCAAAAGTTATTGAATCCACCAGGTCGTGCACTTGGAATAGAAAATAAGGAAAACATAAGTGTAATAGACGTTATAGTTCATGAAAATGAGCAAGTGGACAATGCTGAAAAAAACAATGTTAAAAAGTCACCAAGGAAAGCAGAAACTATTGAACTCTTGAAAGAGCGGCGTAAACTTTTAGAACAAAACAATCAAGAGCCAGGCAATGCAAATATATTTGTTGGCTGCCTTAACACTCGCCGCTGCACTACAAATACATTCTTCTCTTCATCCGCACTTGAACTTAAGATATGTAACGCGTTTATAATCTTCATTTTTTCACTATATTTTTTATTTTTCCAAAAGAGTCGAAATTAGAATTCAAACTACCAAAAAAATTATATTTTTTTGTCAATAACAAGGGAGTGTTGCCAACGTTTATTTTAAACTGTCGATGTCGCTTCTATGCCTTACCATAATACCATGTTTGAATCGAAGCGACGGCGAGGGCGACTCGCACATAAAGTCGATGACGACTATAGTAACGACAACCGTAATTGGGCCGAATACTTCGTATTTTCCAGTTATCTGGCGATCGAACTTTATTATTCCACTGCATAAATCTTATTTAGATGTGTTAATTAGAAATACAGGGGTGTTGCAAAACTGAGTGCAATTCACAACTTTTTGAGCATTTGATTACACAAAGAATAGCTTATTTTGTTACGCCTATAGTATCACCACATCAGCATTGTTTTGTCAACGGAAGATAAACTTTGACAAATTTATTAGAACTGACGTGTCATGTTCACACCGAGTTCTCAAATAAACTCCAAACTGATATTTTATATACTGATTTCAGTAAAGCTTTCGATACAGTTGTGCATAATTTAGTAATATATAAATTTGATTCAATAGGATTCTCTTCAACTCTTCTAAAATGGATATCGTCTTATTTGCATGGCCGTACCCAAAACGTTTCTTTTAACAATACTCACCAAACTCTTGTGCGGTCAAATTGATTCTGAGTTTCTACTTGTGAAATAAAATTCAATGTCCCTTCGCGAAGTACGCACAATTACATACCAATTAAACTAGCATTAGTAAAATCGAACTACGAATAAATAATCCTCTGCAGAGTTTATGTGCTGATTATATAATATAATTTCTTTGTGTGAACCCTTGCATGTCATAAAAACTCTATCAAGGTGTATGCATCAGCTACAACAACTTTCATTTTACAATAACAACATTGTTGCTGACAATCGACTTTGATAGAAAAATACAAAAATAATTTGTAATAAAACAATTTGATTTCTTTAAAAATATTGCTTTGATATAAACGCTGTAAATACATTTTTCGCCTTGTTAAAATATTGCTATCCCAGGTGTAAATGCGCCGAAATTGCGCTCCGATAAAGAAAGGGAAGAAAAATAAAAACACAAATAGTTTTAGTTTAAAATTCAAATAAAAACAAAGAGGTGCATTTCCAAACAATGCAAGTTAATTAATTCACCTTGCAACATTATGAATGTTGTACTATATAATGAAAAAAGGAGGTGCAGTGTTTTGTGAGCAATTAAAATTTATTTTGGTAGAGTTCATGTTTTCAAAAATTCGAATTTTTACTATGTTCTACTAATTGTAGCAGACTCCAGACAATACCCAACCAAATATGGTGTATTGTGCTATAGGTAATCCGGGCGTCGTCTGCACCCGATGAGTCACCACCTTCGAATCCGGCACCAACGCAACCCGACTTGGTCGAAAAAAGGAGGGATCTGCTAAAGGCAATCCAAGGAATGCCTCCTTGACCTTTTCACTGACGGCTTCGCGAGGAGTAAAAACATGACGAAGATCTGCAACCCTTGCCACTAAAGAGATACTTTGAGTGACATCATACACGGACGTGACCGTGATTCGACAAAGCCGAATTCCATATAGGTCGGAAGTGGGTAGTTTCAATTGGTCTACCATTGTCGCACAAATGGGACTCTGTATTGAGCAAGTATCCAGCACCGCTCGGACTGGAAAAGTCGGTCCGACACATTGAAGTCGTACTACTAGACTTGGGGATAAGGT